TGTCTGTGTTTGTTCTCCGTTGTGTTCTCTGTGTGTGTTCTCCGTGTGTCTGTGTTTGTTCACCGTGTGTCTGTGTGTGTTCTCCGTGTGTCTGTGTTTGTTCACTGTGTGTCTGTGTTTGTTCACCGTGTGTCTGTGTGTGTTCACCGTGTGTCTGTGTGTGTTCTCCGTGTGTCTGTGTGTGTTCTCCGTGTGTCTGTGTTTGTTCTCCGTTGTGTTCTCTGTGTGTGTTCTCCGTGTGTCTGTGTTTGTTCACCGTGTGTCTGTGTGTGTTCTCCGTGTGTCTGTGTTTGTTCACTGTGTGTCTGTGTTTGTTCACCGTGTGTCTGTGTGTGTTCACCGTGTGTCTGTGTGTGTTCTCCGTGTGTCTGTGTGTGTTCTCCGTGTGTCTGTGTGTGTTCTCCGTGTGTCTGTGTGTGTTCACCGTGTGTCTGTGTGTGTTCACCGTGTGTCTGTGTGTGTTCACCGTGTGTCTGTGTGTGTTCTCCGTGTGTCTGTGTGTGTTCTCCGTGTGTCTGTGTTTGTTCACTGTGTGTCTGTGTGTGTTCTCCGTGTGTCTGTGTGTGTTCACCGTGTGTCTGTGTTTGTTCACTGTGTGTCTGTGTTTGTTCACCGTGTGTCTGTGTGTGTTCACCGTGTGTCTGTGTGTGTTCTCCGTGTGTCTGTGTGTGTTCTCCGTGTGTCTGTGTTTGTTCTCCGTTGTGTTCTCTGTGTGTGTTCTCCGTGTGTCTGTGTTTGTTCACCGTGTGTCTGTGTGTGTTCTCCGTGTGTCTGTGTTTGTTCACTGTGTGTCTGTGTTTGTTCACCGTGTGTCCTGTGTGTGTTCACCGTGTGTCTGTGTGTTCTCTCCGTGTGTCTGTGTGTGTTCTCCGTGTGTCTGTGTGTGTTCTCCGTGTGTCTGTGTGTGTTCACCGTGTGTCTGTGTGTGTTCACCGTGTGTCTGTGTGTGTTCACCGTGTGTCTGTGTGTGTTCTCCGTGTGTCTGTGTGTGTTCTCCGTGTGTCTGTGTTTGTTCACTGTGTGTCTGTGTGTGTTCTCCGTGTGTCTGTGTGTGTTCACCGTGTGTCTGTGTGTGTTCACCGTGTGTCTGTGTGTGTTCTCCGTGTGTCTGTGTTTGTTCACTGTGTGTCTGTGTGTGTTCACCGTGTGTCTGTGTTTGTTCACCGTGTGTCTGTGTGTGTTCTCCGTGTGTCTGTGTGTGTTCTCCGTTGTGTTCTCCGTGTGTGTTCAAAAACTGTATGGCTTTCCGGCGGAACCTCTAACCACAAACATTGGTTCCTACCTTTATACCCACAGTGTTAATTGGCTCCTATAAGTCCTTTTTATATTTGATTTGTTTTGCTACGTATTCTTCTTTCCGTGTCTTTGAATGCATCACATACCCCAAAGCAAATTCCTCATACGTGTAAACCTACTTGGTGATAAACCCATTCTGATCCTGTTTCTGGTTCATTTGCTTCAGCTGCTGGTGGAGGGTTGTACTTTAAAGCTGACCAATTATGCTATATTTGAAGAATATATTTTAGGGCCATCTATCAAAATACCAAACAGATCACCCATTGTAGCCTCATACCCCTTTGTTTCAGCATTGTTACAAAAGTGCTGATTCTGGCCCTAAATGTAACTGAGCTGCTGCTGGCCACGCCCCTTTGGAGCTGCCACTGGCCACGCCCCTTTGGTGAGTCTGCATGCAAACAGTGATCTCTGTGAAGACAAGGCTTTCTACAAAGACAGTTTTTCCACTCATTAAGTAACGCGTTAACTTGCCTAGCCCATATATAATAATAATAATGATATAAAATAATAACTTTTATTATACAGGACTTCAAAGTTACAAAGTGCTTTACATGGATTAATATATAGCCGTTGAGGCGGCAACAGAGCATGCGGTCGACAATACCCAAACCCGTAAAATATACAATGTTTCAGTAACAATAAAACAATTGAGAAAAGAAAGAAAAATCAAATAAAACATTAATGTAGAGTGAAACCAAGTAGTGTCATCATTAGTTAAAGGCTTTAATGAATAGGGGAGGGGCCAAGCCGTTAAGAGCTTTAAAAGTAATCAATAACCGGCTGTCTTTACTTGACAAATTGAGGCCCCAGTCAAAGGGGGGAAATCAGCCATGTAAAAAATGTAAAATGTACTCGATAGCAGGATGACCTCTGCCGGGACACGTTTTCTCTCAGCCAATCCCAGTCCAGGATTTCGAAGCAGTCGAGCAGACAGGAGGTTTGGGCTTAGCCCCCAGGCATCCTCCAGAGATGGTGAATGTGGCCGGTCAGGTGCATTCAGGCTGCTTCCTTGTGATGTGTTCTGTTCTGATGTGTGTTCCTTTCGGGACGCTACATGGTCTGTGTTTTGTTTTTATGTTACCCTTCATTTCTGCCTCATGTTGTTATTGTATTCATGTTTCTGTGGTCTTCATTTTAACTTTTGTTCTTTCTTGTGAAACACTTTGTTAATTGTATTTCTGTGAAAGGTGCTATACTAAATAAACGTATTATATTATTATTATATTGACAAGAGACCAGAGTGGCGTCTAGGCTAGGCGTGGATTGGTCGAGTTGAGCTCATTACTGGTGGTAGTGGTCCTGCCTGACGCTCACCTGACTACTTAGTGTATACTATACAAAAACATTGATAGATTGATAGTGGGGGCAGCCCCGTAATGTCAAGAAGGCTGCTCCACCGGCCCACAAACTGGGCCGGTGGAGCAGCCTTCTTGACATTACCCATATATACACATTAGCCTCTCCTATATTATAATGCCATTCATACTTTTGCAAATATTCTGGTGTGACAAAAGTATTATCACTGACACAGACAGAAACTTTCAAATAAGGAACATTTTTCTTGTATTATTGATATATGAATATGCACTATTGCCATTTTATCACTCTACATTATCTTCTATCGTTATTATAGACACTTCAGGTAGTTTTTGAAGAATGTATTACGCATCTTTGACTTTTGATCACTCCACCCAGGGTGCCTGAAGCTGCTGTAGTTCATCTTGTTCTTCTTTTTTCTCATAGAGCCGAGATGGCCAATGGACACATGGCCACATGTTGCCACCATTAAGGAGCCCAGGCCATCCATGAAGAACTCTGGAAGAAAAGACAGACATTTGCCATTTAAGGAAAAAGGCATACCTCTCTCAAGGACAGTGAAAACTGAAAGAGTGTGGACTTCCTGCTACTGCTTACCATCTAGACCGGGGGTATTCAATTCAAATTCAACAAAGTCCAATGAGAAAAAGAATCCAGAAAAGGTCCAGAACTTCATAATGTCTAACTTCATTTATGAATTAGTGTGATATAAATAGCCATATAGCTGTATAAACATGTAATCAACAACTGACTGTCAAATCAAAAAAAGAAAGTACAATTAAAAAACATTTAGACAATATTTAACATTGAACTATACAGAAATATAACACTGTAGATACAGTATGTATAATGTTCTTCTCGGGCTGCATTTAAAAATAAAATAGAGGAAATAAATAAAATAGCTTCTGGAAAAATTGTGCATTTTAAATGAAAGTGCTTGATTTGAGTAGAAGCAGCTTGAGTTTCCCTTTCTCTTGATAACTTTAGAATATATCAGTCTCAACACATCTTAACAATGAAACAGTCTCTCTGTCTGTCCCTCTTATATCCCACCCCAACTTTCTTCTGTTCAGTGAGAGAACTGAGACCTAGCTTGTCCTGCCACCATTTCTTTTTTGTAATCGTTTATTTGGCAGGGTCATTTGGCAAGTGTCATTAATGAACACTTAAAACAAAAAAGTGCGTCAAGCGTAAATATGCCTGATTTTAGCTTTGAGCTACTTTCCATCCGCAAGTCAAAAGTACCGGTCAAGGCTGCAACCAGAGGATGATCTGCGTTTATTCCTGTCTTCATTGAATAGAATAGAATCGGAGGGATGAACCCCTCTTTAATGGTCACACATGCAGAGCACGCACAGCACACACAGTGAAATGTGTTCTCTGCTTTTAACCCATCCTAGTACCAGGAGTCTAGTACTAGGAGCAGTCCCCACATCATCCGCCTGTGCGCATCAGAGACGCAGACTCACGGTACGGCAAAGTTGACGTTCAGTGTGTTGCCGGGAGAATATAAGGATTTATCCACGATGTTGAACATTTAAAAAATGTTTAAAAAATATGTTTAAAACATAAAGATAAAAAGGATTTTAAAAGTTATTGTTTAATGTTTTAAGGAGGTGACGCTACTCAGCCAATCACATCGGTGCAGTCAGTGAGTCAGCACGATAGATTCAAACACACACACAGAGACGAGACAAGAGGAGAGAAACAGTCGGAGTCATTTCAAATGGCGGAAGGTAGACAGCGAAAACAAAGCATTTAATGACATTTTCTCTTACTGGACCTCTTTGAAATGCAATTGAATACCCCAGCATTATAGCAACAATAATAATAATAATAATAATAATAGCAATAATAATTGGGAGGGGGGGGCGCGGCTGTTCTTATGTTCTCTGAGGGGAGGCTCACCTTCCCACACTTTGAAAACCCCTGATGTAGGGAATTCGAACAGCTCTTATCATGGCGGCCACTGAGGTACTTCCGGGTCATTTCCCTCCGTTAGGAAGGTTCCTAAAATAAACTGACAATTCGACCGCAACCCAGATCTGCCGCTAACTCAACTCTTCTTCTGTGTTTCTCTCCCTGTATCGCTCACTCTCTTTCGCCCCCTGTCTGCGCTGGTTAGAATAGAAGCGCCCCGTCAGAATGGAAAATCCCTATATAATGTATTGATTGTAGATCAATATAGGCTGGTGTTGACCTACCTGAGTGTCCTATCCTCTTGAGCTGAGGGTCGAATCTCACCCTCTTTGCAGCATCTGTACGAGCCAGGAAGAAGTTGACCACCCCATTGGTCACTGAGCATTGTGGGTAACCAGGAAGAGAGTGGAACCCGCCCCTAAACTTGCTCAAGCAGCCACCTTCCATTTCGTCTCCTTCCTCATAGTTGATAGTGAACTCAAACTGGCTTCCTTTTACTTTCCCACCAAGCTGATAGGAACAGAGAGACAAAAGAACTGATTATAAAGTGCTTAGAAAGAAACACCAAAATAACGAGGAACAATGTTAGAAACCTTGGGGAGGACTACAGAAAGGAGTGCAATAGATGTTGTGTGTGTGTACAGATAAATGATTATGTGACTATATATAAAAAGCAGGGTCCAGGAGGATGTCAAAAAGCTTCCAGATACCTTAAAGGTCTCCTATTATGCTCATTTATTTAACCTGTTAAGCCCTGAGCCTGTTTTTCAGGTTTCAGGCTCGAAAATGACATGCCGAGAACAAATGACTTCTTCACTTCTAAAAGGGGTAAATTAATAATATTTTTTCTCAAAGCAATGATAAACCTGTGAGTTGGATGTAGAAAAGTCAAAATCAATATGGATGTTTTTAAAAAAAAAAAAATTCAGATTGAACATAGTAAATAAAAAAAACATTACTTATAGTGAAAACCACCCTTGAATGATGGGATAGTAGACACAATGTCACTTGTTCTGTATCAAGATTGATGCAAAACAAGTGACATTTGACCTTTTTAGAGAGATTTAGAGAAAAAAAAAACACCTTTGGGGTCATTTGGGTGTATTTGCCGTATCTCTGAAACCCATATGTCGATTTTGGTGATTGACACCTCTTTTTAACCGATAGAGCCAATAGAATCGAGAGGGAGTTCCTAAATCCATCTAAACATTACCCATTGGTGAATGAGAGTGATGCGCAGCCAGAATGCTGAAAACCGGAAGCTGGGTTACACTCTATATGAAAACTACGTTTATTGACATAAATGTTATGATGGATTATCAGTAATCATTTCAAAGGGACACAGAGATATTGGATTAACCTTCAGCAGCGTTTATATGCGTTTTAATGCCATTGAACACAACTTTTGATCATAAAACAGCAAAGGTACGACGTATTTGCCATTTTGGCCCCGTAAAGTGGAGTTGTGTGTTGTCTTTGCTGGCTTTCGCTGCCGTGAGTTTTGGTCGCACAGTGACGATACTTATACCATTGGAATCTGTGGAATCTCAGCTTTCATATGATATCAACTTTGTGCAGTTATGTGCTAAGTGCGTTAGCACCCTTTCGCTTAGTGCTAATTCAGAGGCTTGGCGTTAGACTTGTGTTTTGTTTAGGTAAAAATTGTTAATATCGTCAATTAGCTGAGTTTCTTCCCGTTAAGTGGGTATGACACAATGATAGGTTGTTAAATGTTAAGAAGCCCTGGGACACAGTTTTGTGAAAAGCATTTTGTTTACCCCCACTATCGGGCTTAACAGGTTAATAACAGAACCACCTCCACTGGGTCCTTTCGATGCAAAGGAGCAGCAGCTCTACTCCAAGTCCCTCCTGGATGACTTAACTTCCCACCTTATCCCTAAGGGAGACGCCAGCCAACATCCGGAGAAAACCCATTTTAGCAGCTTGAATTCACAATGTTGTTCTTAAAGTTATGCCCTCCCCTCTACATGACCTCGAGTGAGGGTAGGAACGAAGATTGATCGGTATTGACAGCTTTACCTTCTGGCTTAGCTCTCTTCAACAGTGACATTAAAACTGTTACAAAGTCAGCCTACTGGCACCTTGATGAAATATATCTACGAATAAAGGACTTATGACTCTTTTGAAAAACGTGTCCATGGTTTCATCTTCAGTAGACTGGACTACTGTAATGGTGTCTTCGAGTCCCCACTAGCACTTAGAAAGTGGACCACATCACTCCAGTTCTGAGGTCTTTACATTGACTTCCTATCGGACAGAGACTTGACTTCAAAATACTGCTGTTGGTTTATAAAGGTTTGAATGGGAAACCAATCCCACTTCCATTTTTAACGTAAACTCCCCCCCCTTTCCCGTAAATGAACAACATTTTGCAAGTACATCTAAAGTGCAGAGATGAACCAAAAAGCCTCTTGGACGTGTATAAATAAACGTACAGGAAGTCGGCCATTTTGAATTTGGCGTTGGAAAAACACTTTTTATCACAATCTACTCCAACTGCAGGGATTTTATCCGATCGCCTCAACATGTTGAAAGAAGCATCTCGAGACCAGGGGGATGAAAAGTTATCCAAGTCGTAACTTTTCACCGCACAACGTTGTCCTGATGTGGAGCCAATGTTCAGGTTTGTTGCTAGGCGATCCCTCGCCATTGAACACGGTGATGTCATAACTCCTACTGACATGCTCCGAACGCCGCCAAACGCCACATGACGGTTAACACTGCAGACCTGAACAGCTCTATGCCAAATCTAAGGTTTCATCATATGGCTTTTCCATGGCAACGCATCCCTCGCCATAAAACACGATGTCGCTGTAACTCCATGGAAAATGGTCCAACCGGGACCAGACTTCAGACTATCATTAACACTCCGACCCTGAACAGCTCTACATCTATTATGGGGTATCATCATAGGCCGTTTTTAATATGGGGTGTCATCATATGCAGTTGCCATGGCGACAGATTACTCACAATCAAACACGGTGTTTATGTTACTGCTGTAAGTCCTAAAGACATTGTCCGATCGGCCCGAAACGTCCCAAATTTGGCAACGGCCGAGTCCTCAAGACACCTGCATGAAGCGCCAACGTGTGGACAACAGCGAACCTGCATGGATCGTCGAACATCCGCTCATCGCTGCTCGCAGCTTAAATTATTCTTGTATTTACATCCTTCATGTTTTTTTGTGCTATATAAATAAAACTTGACTTGTCTTGCTTTGACTTACCACATCGAGTTCAGGGTTCGCCTCCATTATCTTCACCATCTCTTCGATATTCGTCCACTTGGTAAACTGGAAGTCATCGTCCACCCACAGGAAGTACTTGGTGGTGACCTGGGAGACCGCCAGGTTCCTGCCAGCAAACCAGCCCTGATGGAGGAAAATGTGATTCATGATTGGACCATCGTTGTCAGTTATTAACTGGAAAGTAGAGACCGTTTTGAGATGGGAGAAAGTGGGCGCCCAGTGGCCCTTTTCGAAATTCGGCCCCCCCTAACATCCAGGGATATTGCAAAGTTGTGTGATGATAAATCGGTCCAGTTGAGGTAAAACAGGTTGCCTTATGCCCCCCCTTGTTAACTCACTGCCTTTTCTATTTTCTAAAGTTAAATTCCATGTAATGCTCATTTGTGTTGTATAGTGCCACTTTTAAATGTACCTTTCCTGGAGGCATGATGAAATGTTTGGTGTGATCTCCAGTAATGCTCTCTGGTTTGAAGCTGTCATCTGCGATGATGACTTCTATGTCTTTATAGAACTCCCGGATGCTTTTCAACAACCGATTGACTTCTGGGTAGCGTAGGAACGTCTTTGTGGTGATGGTGACTTGAGAGTTGATATCTGAAATAAAGAGAAAAAGAGTTATTTCAAGAAAAGACACCAGAAGACATCATGAGATCCACTGTCCATGCTGTTAGCTCATGGCTGTTCTGTTTACGTTTTCAGACCTGAAAAGATCAGTTCAATTTGTGTCTTGAATTAGGTATGGATTATTTCAACGGTAACTGATTTTACATTGGTCCACATTAACAGGATTGGTGAAGTAGTCTGGAATATACTACACAGCATTTTAGCTTTTATATGAGATCACTGATTGATGCCTGAATGTATATTCCACAAAGAAGAGAAGCAGCTCCTTCCTGCCATGAATAAATGAGTGTGTTATCCCCACGCTGAGTGAACTCCCACCTTTTCCCATGTCGTACAGGACTGGAGGTTGAGGCTGTTTGATGGTAATGGGAAACACACCTTCATGGTCCTCAAACTTGAAGGATGCTGAGAACAGAAGAGGAAAGCTAAGCTGTGTCTTACTGATAATACATTAGGTAATAAAAGCAATTAGTGAGCAAACTAACACATTTAAAGGTCTCTAGATTAAACACACACGGAAACACACATTTATACAAACAAACCTGTACAAAGCATTGAGAAATTTATGATTTTGGAATTATTTTTGATTACACTTTGTCTAATAGGTCTTATGCATGTTATTTTGTGAGTTTCCTTTCTGCAAAGACAATTTTTCTAAATAAGGATTATTTTTAATGTCTCAAATGCATACCGAGGTCTCCGGTGTGTATGTGGTAAACAGTGCTGGTATAGGACACATTAGCCAGCAGCTCATTGAGGGCCTCCAGGCTACTGGACTCCATCATCAGTCGGCTCTCACCATTACCTGTTGTGTTTTTCCACAATATTAAAGAGAGAACACTTAGACAAAAATGAATGATGCTTCATTATATAATTACTATAATAATTGAATTTGGTTATTTTTAATTATTGAGTGCGCCTTACGCTACGGCTATGCCTCTTAAAAAACAATCACTGTCAGACAGTGCACAGAGTTTAGCAATGATGCTCTTGATCCTACTTTAAATCTGTTCTGAAAAGTTACTTAAGTAAATGCAGAATGTCAACCATTGTCAGATATTGTTTATTTATTTGTTTAACCAGTCAGATGTGGTTAAATCTCACCTTGGACCTGCGCTCCTCCAGCTGGAATCACTGTTTTCAGGACTCCTTTGGACACTTCCAAAAAGACCTAGAATCGACACACCTCAGTAAATCGTCAATCATTTATTTTAACCAATAAAGAAAATGTACCATTATTCTCTAATCTATACATCAAGAAAAACAGGAAAGGACGAAAAAGTTTGGAAAAATAGATGGGCTGAAAAAATAAAGATCAATTATTTTGCGTCCTAAACGTTAACATTTCATTGCAAAGGATTTCGGGAAACCTGTCAGATAATGATCAAATCCAATGTAAACTTTTTATATCGCAAGGACTCTTTGCTCAAGGCTGGTGTGCAGAAACTGTTTCCCTGCGTTTTATTGTTGGAGCAGGGATTAGGGAAATACACCCAGCACCATTTTCTGAAAAAAGTCCACATTTTGACAAAAAAGTCAGAATTTTGAGGGAAAGTCAGAATCCCTCGACATTTCTGAAAGGAAGTCCACATTTTCAGAAAGAAGTCAGAAAATGAGAAATTTCTGTCAGAATTCTGAGATTTTGGGAAAATAGTCTGAATTTCGTGATTAAAATCGGTATTTTTAGATTTTCTGAAATAGTGTTTTCATTTTTGAAAAAAAGTAAGAATTCTGAGATTTTTACAAAAAGTCAGAATTTGAAGATAAAAGTCTACATTTTAAGTCGTAGTTTTTAGAAAGGGTCTGAATTTCTGCGATTTTCAGAATCACGTCGATTTTAAGATGCTCAGAAAAAGCCAGAATTTTGAGGAAAAAAATCTGTATTTTGAGATTTTTTTGCAAAAAATTAGAAGTCTGAGAAAAGTTCAGGTTGGGCAACAGGATTTCAGAACCAATTTGTTTTGGAATGCATTTGTTCACTTTTCATAATTTATGAATGTTACAGAAATGAAAGAAAGCCATTTCACAACACAGTGTCGAAATCAGCAGCTACACCCCCTAAAGTCAGTCCAATTGGTAAATAATGTTTGAAAGACCATGGAGATTGGGAAGTCTCTTTCATAATATTCATTACCTTGAACTTTGGATATTCAGGGGAAATAAATGTTTTCCCAGCAATATGACAACAATAAGACTTTTAGCATAAGATGAATAATTACAAAGTAATTGAATTCAAAATCCAATGAATATAGGCTTTCAAAGATTCTCAGTTTCAGGATCTGTACCCGATATTTGCAGTCCCTTTGCCCAAGAACCACACCAAAATGGCTGCTGTACAATCTGATCGTTTCTAAGAATATATAAATCAAAGTCCTTTTCATGTGACTCTAATATGACATATCTTTGCCTTCGTCATCAAACAGTATTGTTTTCTGTTTCATCCTCACTTCAAAATCACTTCAAATCTTCACTAAGTGCAAAATAATAATAACATCAATGTGTTCTAAATGTGACGTAAATTATATAAACACTCAGCAGCCAGCTTGTATTAACCGGCCAAACACTAGCCCAGGTTTCTCTGAAGAAGATCAGCTGTATCTGTGGGATCACACCAACCGTGTAGCTGCTTCTTTGTTCTGCATGCAGTGCTAGACCTGAAATCAAAATGAAATATACTTTCATAATCTCCAGTTAAATCTAGTACACACATTCACCTCTGGCTTTGTTGACTCAGTACATAATCTGTATAACGCAAATATATCAGGGCGTGATCAAACCAAACCAAACATCACAATCCAGCTTCCTGCCTCACTAGTTCCTGAACATTTTTAGGGTCTGAGACCAGAGGTCGGCGAAGACCCTATTGTAAACAACCCTGCCAAACACACACAAAACAGGGAAGACGACGGGCAAAAGGACAGAAAAAGGGGCCGAAATCATTACAGCAGGTAGCTCCCACATTACTGATATCGATAGGATTATTATTATGATTATTATTTGCCGTCTTTGAACGCACATTTGACCCCCGCAACATATATGAAAACTGACCAAATTGTTCACGCGTGTAAGAAATGGTGAAAATAGACACGTGAAATGGGTTCCAGAACTTTGTGTAAAAAATTGCGCAAGCCACGCCCACTTCTATTTTTAACGTGAACTCCCCCCACTTTCGCTTTTGCGTAATTGAATGAAACTTGCTATGTATATCTAAAGTGCGAAGACGAACCAAAAAGCCTCTTGGAGGTGTATTCAAAAACGTACAGGAAGTCGGCCATTTTGAATTTGGTGTTGAGGTACAATACTCGACTCCAAATTTTGAAAATAGCATCTTGAGACCAGGGGAATGAAAAGTTATCTAAAATCTAAACTTTTCACCACACGGCGTAGCCATGAAGTGGCGCCCATTTTCATGTTCGCTCGATGCTAGGCGATCCCTCGCCATGGAACACGGTGATGTGATAACTCCAACAGACATGCTCCGAATGCCCCCAAAAGTCACGTGATTGTAAACACTGCGGCCCTGAACAGCTCTACGCCAAATCTAAGTTTTCATCTTATGGCGTTTCCATAGCAACGCTTCCCTCGCCTTAAAACACGATGTTGTCGTAACTCAAAGGAAAATGGTTCAAACGCCACCAGATGATGGTTAATGGTCCGGCCCTCATCATGTCTATGTGCCACTTGTGAGTTTTCATTCAAAAGCTGTTGCCATGGCAACGTCTTTCTCACAATAAAACATGATGTTGATATAACTCCTATGAAAATGCTCAAATAGGCCCCAAACTTCACTTTGGGCTAACAATCCAGCCCAAAAACGTCTAAGTGTCAGTTAAAAAATGTTGTCAAATGCCACAGCCAAGGAAACACAATGCCCGCCATAAAACACGATTTTCAAATAACTCCGGTAAACATGCTCCAAACAGCCCAAAACTTCATAGGTCTGATAATGATGCAGCTCCTATAGACATTGTCCGATCGGCCAGAAACTCCCTACATTTGCTAAAGGCCTAGTCTGGAAAACGTTATGTCGTGCGGACAACAGCGAACCCGCTCATCAATGCTCGCAGCTTTAATT